GACCTGGAAATCCCCCACTTACTCACGGTTACCTTTATTCACTTTACGGTAATCAATTTAAAAACATGCACACCTGTGACTTAAAAATGAATCTTACCAATTTGCCTACTTTTTACTAACATAATAAAAGATTATAATTCCTTTGGTTCACAGGAAGATCAAGGGCATTCAGAAACCTAATTTGCCCATTGAAAAAAAATATTAAAAAATGATGAGCAGGTTGTCTCCGGAAATTGTCTCAGATCGGAAGTGTTGTGGTCCCTGTGAACATGTGCCCCTAAGCAGCAGCTGTCTGATAAGGACTGTATATCCTGCCTTCCCTGCACCACTTTGCATTGAGCTCACATTACTTCATTTCCTTTCTGAAACCTTCCTCCGGATTGTTCATATATGGTCAAACATGAAGGGGAGCTGCATTGAATTTAGGTGTCCTGAAAGATCTCTTCCAACTTTACCCAGGCACTAACTTCTCTAAGCCTCAGTTTTCTCAACTAATTATGAAATGTCAGTCATAGTGGAGACTGTCATTAATATTAYCCTATGGATACCACGTAATGTTATAATCTATTACTTATGAAGTAAAACATGTAAAGYCTCTCTGAAAAAAGAGGAAAGGAAGATAAAACATTSTCATGTATTTTACAAGAACATGAAAGTTTTTTTCTTTTGTATTTTTTCAATTGTTTTTTTTTTTTTTTTAGTAAGTCTTGTCATGTTACTTTGCTGTAGAGAATTAAATCCATCATGGATAACTACCTGGGAAGTTTGCTTCTATATTTGAATGAATAAGAGACAACTAAAAAGACCCTCCGGCCCCCAGATCTGTCCCTCACTGAATTCTGACCCTCTATATTTTGATTTGTCTTATTTCCTGGAATTTCACATTTAGAGATATCTTCCTTTGGTTTAACAAATACAGATTAGTTCCAGGAGCATTTGTTTTATTATACCTAAGAGGATTCTCTTGCAGGTGAAGTGACATGCTTTTACTAATTACAGCAGGACAATAGATGTTGGGCAGGTAAACAAAGACAGAGATGGAGAAGGGAAGAGAGGTTTAATGAAAAATAATTAATTTTGCCACAAAGTTCAGGTTCTTGTGAAGAATCTGGAACAACCTGAGGATCAGGGTTGCTTAGATGGCCCAAAGATACATACATTCTTGGCAATTTGGCTTATTTTGTTTGTTTGTTTGTTTGCAGTGACTGTTTTCTCCTACCCACAAGTGCTGATTTCAATAAAATACTTTGGCAGTCCTAATAAAGACAGACAAAAAAAAATGAMTTCAGAATGAAGTAAGAGTTTGATTAACAATATAATGTTTAAAGATATTCATTTTCTTACAATGAGATTTCTAGGTATCATTTGTCTATAGCTAATGGCAGTTATATTAAATAAATATATATTATATACATTGCACATAACAATTTTATGTGTACATTTGTAACATACATATACACTCACTCATAAATATATATGCATATTTTATATTCACCAGATTATGATGGAAGAAGCAATAAACCTTGAGCACATAAGCAAGAATCTTAGTGCTATGAAATCTGTTAGAAATGGTTTTAGGAGCCTGCAGCTTCCTCTGTCACATTATATTGCATCAACAGTTATGCTCTCAGTTATTGCTTAGTGCCTTAGTCAATGAGACACTTTCTCTTCCACAACCTGTATCAAACTCCCACTCCCTTAAATTATCATCAAATACCTAAATATAGCAAACACTGTGCTAGAATATGAATTTTTTAATTCATAAAGACTTTATCAATTAACTGCTAATATTTTCAGTTTTTATACATAAGCAGGCTAAAGCTCAATGGAGTTATATAGATTTTTCTAAATCTAAACTGTTAATTATTGAGTTAATAGTCATATTGTTTCATGTATCTCTGAACAATACTTGAGTTCCTTCTACACTGGAACCTATATAAGGTTCATTGTTAGCTAAGGTAGGCATGTGCCTGGTCTTAAACACCTTGCTTTTTAGTTGTGCAAATAAAAATAATAACAGTGATTTTTAAAGCTTATATAAATAGATGAGCTACAGAGTTTCAGATTGTGGTGTCTCTCAACTAAAAGACAGAGTGAAGTAATAAACAGAGGCTAATGGGAGGTAATTTATGTAGGTGGTCARAGAAGGTCTTATTGAGGGGCGATATGTGGGGTTAGATGTAAATATGAAGAAATAGCCATGAAAAAATCTGAGAATGGGAATAATGAGAATAAACACACTTGCCATAAAATGAAAATAAGTTTATTTAAGGAATAAAAATGTTCAGTTCTTGGTAGAGAACATGAAAGGAAATGATAGGAATGATTATCTGCCTGGAAAACCTATTTTTWAAACATAATGTTAACCTAACTAACTGTTCTAGAAGATTCAAATGTCAAGGTTAGTTAGTATCCAGGTAGGGAAATAAGATTTTGAACTTTATTATATAAAATGCCAAAAGGGAGAAAGGTATATTAAGTAACTGAGAAAACTGGGATGTAAGTTCCATGTTAGTCCAACCAGTTGTTGAAAAGTTCTTCTTTGCATATGGAAAAGATACATGACAAAGGTTATCAGTTGTATGTAAGAATATTTTCTTTCTGACTCTTTAGAACCCACAAACTAGGAATAGTTCAAGTAATGTCACAGATTTATAACAGTGATGTTATATTTTGCATATTTCACAAGAGTATGTTAAATTAGTGAAATTATTGACAGAGTGTATATATTAATCCAAATCTTCAAACTTTACAAAGATAAATAAACATTTAAAAAAAGTTTATCCAGACATGGTAGTGTACACCTCTAATACTAGTGACTGTGGAGGTTGAAGTAGGAGGATTGCCAAATTCCAGGGTTCAATATCCAGTACCTAAATAAATAAATAAATTATAGAAGTTCAAAGAAATTAGCAAAGACATTTGCAATAGTCCCTGCTATTCCTCTAAGTATCAATTTTAGCTCCTCCTTTGTCATACAAAAATATTCTCATACTCCTTTGCTGTCCAATGGAAGTCTAAAGCCATGTATTTCTCAACTATACAACACTGCAAACCTCCTTGAGTAGCACCCTGTATTTTGGAACTTTAAGAGTTTTGAGCATATTTTTTCATTAATTAATGAAATTATATTCATTCCCCCATTCATTTAGTGGGCATGTGTTGTACGTGTAGTGGAGTCCAATTACTATAACAGACGTTAGAGTCACTGAAGGGAGAAGTCAAAGTCCTTTCCCTCAAGAAGCTTACACTCTAGTAAGGAAAGTAAATGATGTGCAATGACATGGTATTAGTTATGACAATGATATAGAGAAAGCAAAGGTATGGGAGGTATAGAGTGTGATGTTATATTTTTTGAGAGCACAAGTAAAGGAGTCTCTGGGCAGATGACACTGGATCAGCCTGTGAATTAAGCTAAAGGGAAAGCAAAACTTTCAGGAAAATGAAGGAAGAGCTCTTCATAGAACACATGTTCAAAGAACCTGCAATGGTAGCATGTTTAAGGCTTGTGTGGAACAGCATGGAGATTACTATTGAGGAGGATAGTGACTAAGAGGKGAGGTAGCCAGGGGCCAAACCATATATAATCCCTTCCCAACTATAAGAAGGACTTCAGATATCATGGCACCTTTAACAGGATGCCTTTGGGGGTAGAGGGAGGAGGAATTGAACTTCTCACTAAAATGGTATGACTTACTTAAAATACATCCAGTTGCTACATGGAAAAGGTCCTAGGAAAATAAAGCAGAGGCAAAGAGAGATCTTGGGAACACCATGTTCCTCTGTGTGACTTACATGGACAAATACACCTGATGACCCAACTAACTTCTATAGACAATCATTTCCAACCCACCTAAGCATACCATTATCACAATGCCTTTACTCTGTAAATAGAATGACTTCTCTAAAATAAGTGATTCTAATGACAAAGTTTGGGCACCAAAATTAACCAAAGTGGTATTTTGATTCCCTCACCTTCAAGTCATGGTACCTTGACATTCTGCATTCATTTTGTGTTGACCTTAATACTTATCTGGATGAGATCATTATCATAACAGTATATTTTCTTTTTTTATAACAGTATATTTTCATAGTAATCATCCCCAAAAGGTCTGAAGCTTCAGAGAGATCTGAGCAGAATAACCAAAAAGCTCAGGGAAAACTAGAAAAAAAGATATTATTTAGGTGAAAAAAAGGCAGTCTAAGTGACAGTGAAGTTTAAAAAAAATAGCAGAGATGATGAAACAGACAATTTAAGATAAACAATTTTAGAACACGGCAAGGAAGTTCCAGACCACAAGCTTTCTATTTCCTGTATTAAGGCAACTACTTAGCTAAATGACACCTTAAAGGAACTAGTCCCCAGGGAAGAAGGGAGTGACATACTTCCGAAAGCCAATGCACAGCTTCCTAAAATGTTTCCAAGCTGAAGTGAGATTCATGAGAAGGAAGATTCTAAAATTCTTATAAAGCAATAAATCATCTAGACCCCAACAGCATCAGGTACATAGTGTATGTTTAATAAATACTAGTTGTTAAATGTATGAATGAATGAATGGGATTCCAGGAAACCATTACACTCTCCTCCAAATTATTTCCATATCAACTAGGAAGTTCTAACCCTTAATTCTTTACTTAGATTATGCTATTTTCTACATTATCTGAGTTCTAAAACTTTAAGGAAGGATGTTTCTGATTCTGGGAAAATCCCACTTGTCTCTTCACCACGATGCACCTATAGTTAACTAGTGAGAAAGCACATTTCAGACAGCAGGGAAAACCCACACCTCACCACAACAACACACAGTGAACTGTCTGGTCCACTGGAGCGTAAATTAAAGAGAACTGGCAGAGTTAAACAAGTAGGAGGTAAGAGGAAAGGGGTGGAGTCACCCTAAAGGAACATAAATGCTGAGAAGCCTCAGAGACTCAGATGCTGAACATAAGCTCCAGGAAGAACTCCCAGTAGGTTGACTTGACTTGAGATCCACCAGGGAACCTTGAGAATAAGGATGAATTCTGAAGACTGTTCCATAACAGAGAAGAGCTCTCTGAATCTGGAGAAAGGACAAAAAAGTAAGTCACCCCTGATTCTTACATTCCAGTAGTATTTCTATAAATGACATACAGTGGTACTGGGGCAAGAAAATAGGGCACTTTTAAAGAGTTTGGTTGGGTTCCATTTCAGTCAGCAGAAACTTGGAAGAGAGAAATTCCTCTTGTGAGAAGATAGAATACCTGCTAGAGTGGAAGCTACAAGGTGACGCTCAGAAGAAATTTAAAGATCTTTTCCTTTAAATCAACTTTATAGCATCTCAATTTTTATATTGAAATAAAAAATTCCTAGTCCTAGCCTAGTTACTCTCCATTATTTTTCCATGTCCACCTGTGCCTATTCCAGGAAGTTTTACCTCTCCCTGTGAAAAATTCTGTTTTTCACAGACCATAACTTTCTTGATTGTTTACCCTTAGACCTTTGCTTTCTGTGAGCATCATCCTGTTCATGCTGTGTTCTCAGGACAGTATCTTTTAATTGCTAAATATGTACAAGTTTCCAGTCTGAGAAAACAGCTATATGAGCGTCTAAACATTTACAGTGCTCAATGGCAATTTATTAAGAGAATGAAAAGAAATCTTAAAAATACAATCTTCTGTTTTGATGTTCCTTTGAGGGCTCTTTCCCTCAGTTTCACCCTCCAATTTCATTTTTATAATCACTGACTTCAACTTCTAGATGAGCAGACAAATTTTCTTTTTTTCTTTTCATCAAAGTGCTATTATCTTGTAATTTTTTTCTTTTCTTCTATTTTTCTGTTTTATTCACACATCTATTCTATTTCCTAGTAATATAATTTTCTATTATTTTTCTGTCTTGTTTCTGTAAGACTTTCCTGATATTTTTTCATTTATTCATTTTACTTCCTAATAAGTAGTAAGCTAAAGCACTATTAGTATTTTGAGTTAAGTTGTAAGCAAGAGCTGTCCAGTTAATAAAGGAATGTGTTAGAAACAGCACAGCCAAAACAATCTCTGAGGAAGAAATCATTTTCTCAGTGTATATCTACTAGATTGGTTTACTCTAGAAAAATATTACTTATTTTGATTAACTTATTATTTGTTTTAAGAACATGAAGTCAAGTGTGACTAAAAWGTGTAAGACATGTAAATTTTTAAGTAACCAGGTGAACCACGACTTTACAGCCCAGTCAAGCTGCTAAAAAGTAAAATGATTTTTAAAAAGATATTAATGAATGTATTCAATAAAAAGAGCAAGTGGAAAGAAGGATGAGATACAGAAATCATTAACTTTACCTGAGATCATACAGATTTATTGTTGAATGTTTAATCTGTGTTTCCATCATAGTTATCTTAGTAGTATGAACAATTGCTGGCCATCGCTCTTGAGCAAGTTGATAGGTAATAAACAGGTGGGTCTGTTTTCACCCTCTCCATTAATGGAGAAAATCTATAATCACAGCAAAAGGGTGCTGTTGGGGGAATGTTTTGTCACCTAGGTGATAGAGCAAATGTGGTTAGCCATACCCCTTACTAATGTAAATAAAGTACAGATCTGGGCCAACGGGCTGAGCTGGCTCTCATGTTCAACAGCTGTGTGGATGTGTTAGGGCTTGCTGAGGAGTCAGAGGTATTGCTGCATTGAGTTCAAGCAGAATGATTGAGTCTCACGTGGTGGAAAGTGAAACTAGACAGATGTTGCCTGACCTACCAAAGGCTGTCTCTAATGATAATTGTATACAAGTGTAAAACAGGAGGAATTTCTTTGAGAAACTGAGAGAAATAGAACTAGACAGGAATAAAATAAAGGTCTCTCTTGCAAAATCTGAATGCAGACATACATTGGGAAAAAGAACCCCTAGAATAAGCAAAAGTTGATGTTGACACTAGCTATTCAGAGGAGTAAGAGGCTGGATCATACACTAGGGGTTTATTTGATTTTTTTAAGAAACTGTTTCCAATTTACTCTCCTACGAACAATGTATAAAAATTTCAATTGTTCCACATCTGCACTAACTTCATCAAAAATACTCTCAGGTGTTTAAAATTTTATATCATTCTAGCTTTGTGATTTTTTATTTCATTACATTATCTATTCCAATCCCATTCATATCATCTCTCTTAAAGATATCTGTGTCTTAACTATAGGAAATTTGACATTTTTATGAAACATCTCTTAAACAGTAACTGCCAAGAGGGTAAGGGATTATCCCATGATGGMTTTTTTTTTTTTTTTGTATATCCTCTAGGGCAATTGGGTGCTTAATAAATACTGTATTATAATTAAAACAAGAAAATGATAATGTGGTTAAAATTCTTAGAGGTACAAAGTACATCCATTGTGTATATTAAATTCATATATGAGTATGTGAAAATATTGGGTGATATTTTATGACCTCAGAACTATGACTGAAATGTTTTATTTTTACCTAATAAGAAATTTTCCAAGTTCACACAAAATTTTGGAAAAATTAGTTTTCCTTTTCACAAAATATGTTACCTATCGACCTTTCTCTTCCTCTCTGTTTCTCTCTCTCTCTTTCTTTCTTTCTTTCATTTAAACACCACAAAAGATTGCCCCATCTTAAGGTCTGCCTGAATTCATCAAAAACTTTCTTCCTTTCAGGAAATGCCACCAGCCTCCATTATGAAACACATCATGAAGGGTCTCTTCAAGTTCCTATTCCATGTGCTGTAATGAATGTGGTCTTCATCACCATTTTAATCATAGCTCTCGTCGCCTTATCAGGTGGGTCTTCACTTCATGAGTTCTTGCAAAGTCTCCTAGCTGTAAGCATTGATGCCCAGCTGAAATCAATAGGTATTAGCTCAGTCTAGTTAATCAGAAATTGTGTTCAATTTAGGATAATCTCATATACTATACATGGCCAAATTTCTAATCAGTACAAAATATAATTCCATGTTCTTTGAATGATTACTACATTGCTTTTATGAGTATTAAGTGTCTATGATTTATATATCACTATAGGAGAAAAGCACAGTTGAGCAGACTTTTACATCTAGAAGAAAAGAAGCTAATATGAATTCTAAATGAAGAGACATTTAGCTAGAAAAAAATGTGTATTTTCCATTCATCATTGGCAGAAAAAATAATATCTAAAGCATAGATTAATAAAAATTGGCCAGTCATTTATTTTTGTCTCTTATCCCAAAGCCACACAATGGTAGTTCTGAGTTATTAAGACTATAGCTAGAAATTATCAGTCAGAAGTGACGTGGTACTGAATACATACTATTTTATCATGTATACCAATATACACCTGTGTCTTAACTATAGGAAATTTTACATTTTTATGAAACATCTCTAGCCATTGATCTTTCTTTACTTTGATTTATTTACCTGACAATTACTCTCTACTTCATCTCCCAATTTAGTATTGTACCTCTTGTATCTTCAAATTCCTAAATCTCCACCTCATTTAAACTTACAACATTACTTGGAATTTACAATGTATATTACACTTTCTAGTTCAAAGACTACTTCTAGGATTTTTTTCTATCTTCCCTGCCACTGTCTGAGTGACCAAAGAGATACCCATTATGCTCATACCTCATCTGATGATGAATAGACACAAAGAATAGTTAGATAAGTGAGAAACTGCTTTCTTCTTCCTTCTCTCTTTCCTGGTTCTCACTCTCTATCATACCTAAGCTAAGTTTACATGCTGAATCTATTTGATTTCTTTTGTTACTAAAACAAAACCGTTTTCCTTTTCACAGTGGGCCAATATAATTGTCCAGGGCAATATAAGTTCCCAGTGCCTTCAGACACCCATGATTCTTCATGCTCAGAAGAGTGGGTTGTGTACCAGAGGAAATGCTACTTTATTTCCACCACAACAAAGAGCTGGATTTTGGCAAAAAACTCTTGTTCCAAAGATGGTGCTACTCTTGCTGTCATTGAATCTGAAAAGGACATGGTAAGATTCAAAAATAACTTCACAAAATGATGTTATTTTGTTTTAAATAGGCAATCTGTGGTTTCTTTCTGAGTGAAAACTTTGTATCTATTGCACATTTAGGAAAATTGTCACAGAAGTGATATGATCGCTCTGAGTTCAAAATGAGACTTCAATATGGACTTTGAAAAGTGATTTTTGACTGCTTAGCTTCAAAGGCCAGAAGTCCAAATAAGCTTCTGCTATACAGAAATAATAAATGATCAGCCTTAGTCATTGTGCTTCAAATTAAAGCTTTTAAAAATCAGATCTAATAAATACATGTTTCCTCAGTCAGTTGTTTAACATAACAACTCCTTTATGTTTTAAGAACTTCCTGAAACGATATGTGGGAGGAGCTGAACACTGGATTGGGCTGAACAATGAAGATGGTCAGAAATGGAAATGGTCAGATGGCAGAGTTCACAACTGGTAAGTCAAGAAGTTTCTTTATTGTTCCCAGGCTGGCACCCACAGGAAAAATGCTTTCCCTTTCTTCTTTCATTTAACTTATTTTTTTTTCTTTTCTTCTTGCAAATCCCAGTTGGCTGTGAAGGTTGAGATACTCATGAGTAGAGCTCTTAAAATTTTCTTTTATACACTTATATCCAATGGACTCCTTTCAAGACAGTCTTTGTTATATTTTTATCAACTTAGGATTCTGACAATAAATTCTTATAGTAATTTTTCCTCAGTAAACTCTAGTATGAATGATCGAAATTAGCCTGTTTGGAAATATTCTAAGGAGATGACTGATGAGATAGTTCCTGGAAAAAAATTTCTTCTTTCTCTTTCCTAGTTTTCATATCTGCGTGGATAAAGAACAACATAATCAATGCCTAATTATGAATTTCTATGAACCTGAAGAAACTTGCCAGGGAATTTAAGATACTTATTCTGTTTTTGAGAGACATTTTATAAGTTTGGTGTTGATTTCTGCTTTCTCAAAATTCAGAATGGAATAAATTTCTCACTATTAATAATTTTAGGATAATTACAGATACAGCATCAAGATCAAAATTCAGATCTATAGTAAAGGGATCCTTAATATGTGTCCTTACAGTCTCATATCTACAGATGGGCTGCAAGATCCATAAACACCCTAAATATGTATTCACAARTATGCATGACTTTTGAATGCATGTAATTTCTGAAGTATTTCTTGAAGAATCAATGAACTCAAAATGACCTAGAATAACCCCGTTGTTGACATGCCTACCAAACAAATGGAGCACTTTACTCTTAACTCTGTATCTTTTCTCTGCATGCTATTCCTTCATTTTTTTTGTCTATTGTCCCACAGACTAGACTATGATAACTTGACTGGCAGATTTGTCTCATAATTTCTCCTAAAGAAAACATAGTAGAGGTGACCATTAAGTTTATTCTCATGTAACTGAATGGAAATGAAGAATTGAAAATAATTTTGAGTGTCTTCATTGTTTGACAGGTTCAACCTGACAGGGTCTGAGAAGTGTGCATTTCTGAACAACACAGATATCAGCAGTGCAGAATGTGAGAGAAATTTACCCTGGGTCTGCAGCAAACCCTTCAGATAATGAGCAAGCATATTCACTCAAACCATTGTTGCTGGAACTAAAGGAAAATTTTGTCAAATGATGCTACTTTGTGTCAGAAATGTCCACAAAGACATGGTGAACAAACTTTTATAAATCTGTCTTTGGAACAAAACGGAGAGAAATTCCAGGAAAAATCTGCATTATGGACTCCTTCTTCTGTGAGCTGAAAATATTGCAGGTTGATTGACAGTCATGTCCCAAGAATAAGGAGAATGACTATTACACTCTTCAAATGCACTTTATGTACTCAAGTCCAGAAGGTTAGGAATTATTATTTATTGTTGAATGACTATGAACAATGAGTGTCCTTCCTGCATTTGTGCTGCTTGAAAAAGCTGATGGTGGAGGCAAAAGGTGAATGTAAACAAAGGGAATTTTAACTAGGAATGGATATTTGGTATAAATGAATTTCTTAAACTTAGCATTTATAAGTGAACATGTTTATGAAACTAAACTGTATAATATTTTCCTCTACTTGGAGGCCTTTGCCAGGTTACTTTGTCATATTTATCCCCCCAAAAATAGCATTTGTCTTTCTTTTTTTTAACTTCCTCAATTGTAGACAGGTCTTTGTCAATGGTACGAATTTCTTTGCCTTTAAAATCATCCACATAGTGTTTTTTGAAGAAATGACAAAAGCAGAAACTATGAAGAATATTTGAAAAACAGACAAAAATGTTGAAAAATGTGCAATATATGGAGTGGCAAATCTCTATCAGTAAATGCTCTGTATTGTTCAAACTTGGAATAATACTAGTCTCTTCTGGTAATAAGGTTGTGCCTTTCCTAATCAGCTTTGTCATGTGCACTACTTCATGTGAAGCATTTTCTGTGCAATGAAGTATGTTTGTTTGTTTGTATTTTGTGTTCAGCACAATTATAAGCTCATTTGTTGTATGTGAAAATAAAAATAGAATCAACACCATGGGTTCCAAGAAGTGTTCAAACTACATTAAACATCATGTGCCATATTAGAAAGCAGAAAACAGAATACTATGATTTTCTAAAATTCCTGTTTATAGTAAAGACTTACTTAGTTTTATAACATCGTTAATACCTTTGAAGTTATTTTTATACCCATGTTTTCTAAAGGACTGTATCCATTTTTCTTTGTATTGAAGATGCTTGGTAACATTTGGTCCTCATAAACAATGGCTTAAAATATCTTATTCAATTCTGAGGTGCTATATATATATTAATTATTTACACCAAATAATCAATTAAACAGAAATGGGATACTGTATGATATCCATGGGTATTTCAATCAGGAACAAATTGAATTACTTTCCTAATTGTTTTTCAAACATATTTTTCAATATTTTTTTTCTGAACATTGGACATATATGATATTCATGGTATCTTTAACCTGTTGTCACCACCAATGGCATATAGAAAAGAAATATGAATTTAAAATACTTCTTAGTAAAAAAAATAGATAAATTTCTTGACCTTTGAGCTCCTCTTGTACAATGAAATGTCCCCTTAATGCTAATAGTCTATCATTAATGACAGCATTCTACTCCTCAGTCATGTGAGAAGCTGGTATCCTATAAAATGTGTGTTATATAATGTGCAAGTGGAAAGTGTTGCTGGTAAAAGCCAGAGGGTAGGAGGCAGGTAGCCTGAGTTTCATTACTGTCACCCACTGGCTACTATGTGAAATATGCAGGTGAAGTGTTCTTTTCAGAGGAAGAACTTGAAATTATGTTGAAAAACCAAAACAAAACACAGATAACTGGCACATATAAGAACATATAGTAATTTTTGGCACATATCTTACTAAGATGAGTCTAGGTTACAGATTTAACATTTTGGATATTATTGAAAATTTTGATTACCTCAGCAAATTAGCTATTGTAATTAGAATTAGCTAGAAATTTACTTAAAATTAGTTAGAAACTAAATTACTTAGTACATGAAAATTAACTTAAAACCTAGTTCATAGCAAACCCTAGACATGTTTTAAATATTAAGAACTGATGGAGAGTGGATCCAAGATGGCGGAATAGAGGAGACACCGTTTCTGGCTGTTCTGTGCATGAATCYGAGAAAGCAGTCAGGCGGCCTCTYCACAGGGTCTCACCTAGATGGAATACAACATCTCAGAGCATGTGACAGAACCGCATACAACAGATTTTCACAGAATATTCCAGAGCTGTGAACACCCAAGCAGAACTCAGAGCCTCTGTGATTTGGTAAGACTCCAGATTCTGGTCCCAAAGCCCCGTAGTTGGAGGAAATGCGTGACTCTCAAGAGGCAGAGCAGAAGAACCAAATCAGCACCTCTGCAAAGCTGCAGAACTCCAGACTACACTCCACTCCCCACATTCTAGCCACAACACAAGGACATCCCAGCCCCCCCCCCCCACCCCACCAGACACCCCAACGTGGGAAACAGATGGACTCCATCTTGGAAAACCTTTCTTCCTAGTTTTTGGTGGGCATGGCTATCAGCACGGATCTGTGACTGAACAGGTACCTGGTTTCCAACTTCCCTCACAACCCCAACATATGTGAAACCAAGAACTTTGCATGAAATAGAACTTTAAGAACTGAGTAACCAGAATAATATAATATAGAGGAATTGGATAAACACCTCCTCTTTTTCTTCCTTTCACTCTCTCTCTCTTTTCTCTTTCTTTTCTTTTTTCTTTTTCTTCCTCCCTCTCTTCCTCTTTCAACCTCCTAATTTTACTAGTTTTACTTCATGTAGTTTTCTAAATACATATATGTGTTTGTCTTTATGTACCCTACTGTCCTCACACATACTTGTCTACCCTAAATTACCTGTCTATTCCCCTGCTACTAACTCTCTTCATTAGAGTTCTCCTCCAAATTTCCTAAGTTATATTAACCCCACACCCTCACATCTTTCTCCATTACCATAATGTCCTATGCCTGACCCCCAGATCTCTATCCACCACCAGAAGCTGTACATGTTTTATGAAACTACTGATTATATTTTAAATAATAATTGAATCCAACATTTATGGACATTGAGACTAACTATAAATGTCTTAATAACAATAATTCATTCATAGGTGATGTATTGTTCATATTGGAAACTGTTAACATTTTCTTTCCCCACAAAGGAGGGATCTTGGAACTATACAAGAGTACTACAAATCTACAGGGTAAAAAACAATAACACAGCAGTCCCACAGAGCTGAAAAGAAAGAAATGCAAGCAACATGAAAAGACAAGGGAAGAAAGTACCACAAACAATTCAAGACAACACATTATTAGAAGAATTAAAAGCTACAGCAGATAAAATGACAGATAAAGTTTTCAGGATATACATGAATAAAATGTTTTGGAATATCAAAGAAGACAATAGACAACAAATACAGGCAGTGAAAGATCACTTTGTAAATGAGCTACATAAAGAAGTCCAAGAAGCAAAAGATTACCTCTACAGGGAGATAGAGGTTATACAAAACAAACAAACAAACAAAAAACCCAAAGAGAAATCCTTGAAATGAAAGAAATAATAAAACAAATTGAAAACTCAAATGAGAGCATCACCAGCAGAGTAGACCACTTAGAAAACAGGACATCAGACAATGAAGATAAAGTATATCATCTTGAAAAGAACATAAACAGCACAGCAATAATGGTAAGAAACCACAAGCAGAACATCCAAGAAACATGGGATAGCATAAAAAGACCAAATTTAAGAGTTATTGGGATAGAGAAAGGCATAGAGGTCCAAGTCAAAGAAATGAGCAAACTGTTCAATGAAATAATATCAGAAAACTTTCCAGACATGAAGAATGAAATGGAAATTCAATTTCAAGAAGCCTTCAGGACTCTGAATGTGAAAAATCACAACAGATCCACACCAAGGCACATTATAATAAAAAGGCCCAACATACAGAATAAGGAGAGAATTTTAAAAGCCACAAGAGAAAGGAATCAGATTATATATAGGGGTAAACCAATTAGGATAATGGCAGATTTTTCAATACAGACCCTGAAAGCTAAAAGATCCTGGAACAACATATTTCAAACTCTGAAAGATAATGGGTGCCAACCAAGAATCTTGTATCCAGCAAAATTAAGCTTCAGAGTTGAAGATGAAATAAAAACCTTCCATGATAAACAAAAGTTAAAAGAAATGATAGCTAGAAAACTGGCACTAAAAACATCATTCGCAAGATATTTCATGAAGAGGAAATAAAAACAACAATAAAAACAAGCAGAGGGAGGTAGTACACTAAAAGAAAAACTAATTCAAGAGGAAAAGCAAGTCGAGTTAAATAACAAAAATAAACAAATATGGCTGGAAATACAAACCATGTCTCAATAGTAACCCTAAATGTTCAAGGCTTAAACTCACCAATCAAAAGACATAGGATAGCAGATCAGATTTAGAAAAAAGATCCAACAATATGCTGCCTACAGGAGACTCATTTGATAGGAAAAGACATGCACAGACTGAAGGTGAAAGGTTGGGAAAAATCATCTCTCTCACATGAACTGTGGAAGCAAGCAGGGTCTCCATACTCATATCAAATAAAGTAGACTTCAAGCCAAAGTTAATCAAAAGGGATAAAGATGGACATTACATATTGCTCAAGAGAAACATACATCAACAAGACTTAACAATCATAAATACATATGTCCCAAACAATGGTGCAGCTATGTTCATCAAACAAACTCTTCTCAAGTTCAAGAGTCAAATTGACCACAACACAATAATTTTAGTAGACTTTAACACACCTCTCTTACCACTGATAGATATTCCAAATAAAAGTTGAATAAAAAAACTATAGAGCTCAATAACATAATTAATAACTTAGACTTAACTGACATATATAGAATATATCTACCAGCATCAAGAGGATACATTTTCTTCTCAGCAGCACATGGATCCTTCTCAAAAATAGATCATATACTATGCACAGGGCAACTCTTAGCAAATACCAAGGAGTAGAAATACTACCATGCATTTTATCAGATCATAATGGAATGAAATTGGAAATCAATGACAAAATAAAGAATAAAAAATACTGCATCACATGTAAACTGAACAATATGCTACTGAATGAACAATGGGTTACAGAAGA